CACACTCTTTTAAAAATCACTTTCTTTTAAAGCTGTTCATGCCTGACTATGAACCACATTAAAACAGAACTTCAGCTAAGAGGATGTAGCAGTAATTAATGATAAGGTGCATGAGGGTCATTTTCAAAGACTTAAGCTTTATAAACAGAGAAAAATAAGTCAATTTGATGATTAAAAGAAAGCCAAAAATGGTAATGAAATGCCAATTAATATAGCATCCAAATCTCTTTACTCCTTTCTGCTGGTGATAAATTGAGAAGAGAAAACTAATGCACCTTTAAAAATAGCTGAACCTGAACCTAAAATCCCTCGCTATATTTTGTCAGTTTTTGTATACCATCAATGTAAAATCCTGCATCTGAGCTGGAATAACTCCAGGCAACAGCTCAGGCTGGCTAGGTAGCAACTCAGCAAAACAAGATCTGAGGTTCCTATAGAGAAGCTAAACAAACACTGGCAAGGGCAACCCTGCAAGCATTTACGGCCAGCTGTGTAGTGTGCTGCAATTAGCAAAAGCATCACCTGCAGGCTGGAGGAAGTAATTACTCCTTTTTGGTGGAAAGTCATAGGTCCACATCTGAGTAGGGTGTCCAGTTTTAATCCCTCTCCTATATAAGAAAGACAGGCACCAGTTGCAGCTCAGACCAGCGGAGCATCAGTAGATGATGAGGGGACTGGAGGATGGGATGTGGCAGGACAGTATGAAGGCTTGTTCAGAGAAAAGAAAGAAAGGCTTCGGGGGATATTTGTTGCTGTACTGAGCTACCTGAAGAATTGTTACACAGAAGACAGAACCAAAGAAGTGTGTAGAGAAGGGATAATGGCAACTATCCTTAGTTGCAATGCCACTGGTACATTTTCTGGTGTTCTCACTGGTGCTATCCTAAGGTATCCTTCATGTAAGGTATCCTTCACTTCTGCTGTTTTTTGTTTTGTTTTTAAGTAAATCTGCTCAAACACATCTGCCCTGATGTGGTCTGTGAATTCAATTGAACAAGATCAAAAAGCAATTCTTATAGTCAAGAAGAGAGCACTTCCCCTGTCTGAGTCCCTGCTTTCACCTAGAGCTTTCAGGCACATCAGAGTCTCTTTTTATCTCATGCTTCAGGAAAATGTGACTGGCCACGTGACAGTATTGATATTCCTTGATTCCCAGCTTAGTGTGTAAAAAGATGATACAAAGCATTTATCTCCACAGCTTAAAATGTCTGATTATGGTTTTGCTACCTGTCATTTTCCTGATCTCCTCAGGAAGCTCTTGCAGGCAATTTCCTCACTTCATAATTGGATTTCTTGCTGATGGCTACTTTAGGACCTGTCTGGGGGATAACTGCAAAGTTAAGGATCGTGTGGCAATGGTCAAGTCTTGCAGTCACGGGTAGGAAGGCAGCAGATGCTGCAGGGAATGTGCATGTGAGGTGGGACAGGGGGTGTCCCTGTGTGGTGACAGGAGGTTGCTGAGTCACCTCCATTAGCTGTGGCACAGCCAAGTCACTCATCTGCTGAATAACAAAATGCCTCAAGCAAACACTAATGCAGATAATGGGTTACTGTGATCACCATATTTTTCTGAAATAACATCAGTGCACATTAATTCTAACTTTGATTTGTTTCATTTGATTCTGGCCCTTTTTTTTTGAAAAGCGCAGCTGTAGGGACCAAGGGTGAGATTAACTTCACACAATAAATTACATCTGCATTATTTTTTAAATTAGCTACTGCTATTTTAAATCAAGCTACTTTTCTCTCTCAGTGTTTTTAATTTTATAAGTGCTGTGCTCCAGAGCTTTCTATTCAGCAAAGTGGTTTTAAATGAGTCTTAAATAATTTAAATATTTCTTTTCTGAAATACGTTCCTTTCCAGGAAGATTTTTTGTCAGTTTTATGCCTTCTTGAGAAGAAAATAAAACAGAAAGTATTTTCTTATTCCATCCACGGTGTTACAAGAGCAGGAGAAAATGTGCAACAGTAATAGTCTCCCATTTGACAGCAGGCACACACTGAGAAAAATCTGTAACACCATGATTCGTCTTCTTAGCACCCCTCCTAGATCAAATGAAGTTAAAAATAAAGTGAAAAGCGGGAGACATTTCCTATTGCAAATTGATGTGAAGGAGGATGTTGTATTTGATGGACGTCTGAAGACCAGCACTGCAGCTAGCACATCCCCATCCAGGAGGAAAGGGACCTGGTGCCTTGGTGTCAGCACCACGATATAAATACAGATCAAATACAAACAGATGGAAATGGATTTCTGTGAAGCATGTCACGGCATGACTGCACCACCTCCGTGTCACTGGATTGTACATCTCCAGCACACTAAGGAGTGCCTGGGCAGTGACCAGCCCCTTCCAGTCTCCAGCTCCGCAGAGGCAACCCAACCATGCCCACTCACTGACTTAACCAAATACAGAACTGCCCCCAGGACTGCAGGATGACTTCTTGCTGCACCACTGCAGTGACTTTGTGCCTTGTTGTTCCCCTGTGATGACTCTCTGGCCCATATTCTTCCTGGACAGCAGTTCGCTGCAATGAACTGAATCTCTTTTAGTCCATAATGCCACATCAAGGGCATGTCATGACAGAATAATATTCAAATATAATATTGCTCTTTGATTTAGATAGGAAGGAATGCCTAAGTAACACACGTGAAAGGAACTTAAAGCCCAAAAAAGTGAAAAATGACACAGGAAATGCCTAGGAAGACAAAAGGACTGATGTCTGTCTCCGTGTTTGAGATTCAGCACACACACTGTCCTCCAACAGAGGAGCTCACCTCCCAGAAGGCGATGGCACATCTAACCTCAGCATAATGGGGTTGTGGCTGCATAATTGCACCACAGTGATAAGGGCAGAGTGGTCACGGTGCCAGTGAGATGGCAGCACACCACAGGGAGGTCACGGGGCTCCATGCACCACTCCGGCTCTTGGGCTGATGGTGAGCAGAGCTGTTAATATAACCTCCTCCCTGCTCTTAGTGTAGATCGTGTGCTATACTGTACCCAAGGATGACTACAAATCACATTACGCTTATATTCAGAATGGCATTGATTTTCTGAAAGCCCTGCAAAGGAATCAAGGGGGATCAAGAAGCTACCACACCATAAAACTTGGTAGAAATACAAGTAAGACCACTAAAAGCGTCAAAGTGGTGCTGAATAGTAGCTAATCTTACCATGTTAATGAGTCTGAGGTAAACTACAGCATTACGAGCCAACAGTCATTGAAAGAGAATAACCTGTCCCCTCGGGAAGCATGAGATTCAGAGATCTTTCTCAGAAAACCCAAGTTGTTAACATTTCTCTTTCTCTTCTAAACTATGAACACTTTCTAATGATTACACCAAAGCAGAACAAAAATAAGCATGATTCCTGGAAAATCAGGAGTTGGAAACAATATTTGAAAAAAAATGGCAATGGTTTCCTGGGCCACAACAACTCAATTTTTGGCAGCAGGATATCCGAATAAGAATCTGCTCCCTTCCTCTTTTAAGTACCTCCCATGGAAAGGTTCCCTGGGTTTATACTTCCATCCTAATCAGAGACAAAGTTATACCAGGTGTCATCCAATGCAACAAAAATGCAAACCCGAGCAAAAGCAGGCCACGTCAGCATCTGACAGTGTCTGTTTAGCACAAAATATGATTGCAGTGTTTATTCAAGCTCATATTGCACAACCCACTTGTTTATACCAATAGATGTCTCCTCCCTTATGCAATGCACATGGGGTTTTCAAGCCCACATTTTGTTTAAAGTCTTCTTCAGTAACAATAAAATAAAAACTGGCTTACAGCTTTATTCTCCAAGTGATCCAGAGCTTAAATATTCTGATGCATTTGAAAATTATGTATAATTCTACTGATGCCAGTGGTGTTATGCTACTGCTTCATGAACATAAGCAGAAAGATGATCAGGACCATGGTATTTTATGGCAGTGAGGGGATCATGTACCATACTTGCTGTACTAAGCAGCATACTGTATCTGAGTCCTAGTGCCTATTGAAACGTACAGCTAATTATTTCCTGAGGTTTTCTGAAATCAAAGCTCTACTGAAAGGTTGTTTTAAGACTGATTTGAGGTGTTCAACTGCAAAACATAGAAGAGCAAAAAAATAAAATAAAATTTTAAAAAATCTGATGTGTAAACTGGCATGTTCAAATGATCTCCAGACTGTCTTGTCCCTAGATTGATCCTTTTTGTTTAATATTTTAACTCAAACTCTGTGAGCAGGAAAGAAAAATAATGTTTTTGTTTTGTTTTGTTTTTTGTTTTTTTTCTAAGCTTGTATAGCACTTACACAAGAAGGTCAGGTGAAAGACTCCTAGACTCACAGATGGTAAAGAACACTACTGCTACTGCAGTACTGCACATGTCTATAAATGTCCTTCTGAGGCAAAGATGGCAATAGATTTGGAGAAAGACACACTGGAAATACTCATTGCTCTAATTAAATAAACCATCCTTTGATGGCAGGCAGATGCTGAAGTCTGAGTTTTTCGTACCTCAGTAGTTACCCCTTCATGCTACTTCTAACCAAAGCCTGCCACTTCCTCTGCTGCCTGTGCTCCAACAAAACGTTCCCTTTGTGCTGTCGCAATCCACTTCTCTGCTACAGATCCCAAGGGGACTTCTGGTGCTCATCACTGCTCGATGCATTCTAAATTCTGACCATGCTCACAAATCCTATGTGCAAAAGGAAATAAAAGCTGGTGGTGATCAAAGTGTCTTCCCTTTATGCATTTTAGCACACCTGTCATTACATCATTTTACATCACATCAGTCTTTGGAGCTCCCTGAGAGATGAATAAGCAGTTGGCACCATCTCTGGGCACTCGCATGATGGGCTTTCCTGTTGATCTTTTGCCAAAAGACATTTCTCCAACAAAGAGAACCATCAAGAAATAATATGCTGCTAGACATAAAACAGAAGAAAATGCTTTCCTGCCAGAAATGACATAAGTAATCAAAAATGAAAGATGACAAAAGATCGCTGTACTTACTATGTGTCGTGCTGCAAACACTCCATCAACTATTGCACAACAGAATGCTGCCACCACGCCAAAGCTGATAAATACAATGGAGGCTACCAGCTGAGAAGAGAAAAGCAGAGTGAGTAATATTTTCAATATAATTCTTTAAGTAAAACAATCGTAGTATTTTTTCCAGTATTTTTAAATGACATTTTCTCTTGCTGTAATGCGTGTCATATCAGTGTGGCAGGCTGCCAGATACACAGCATAAAAAATAAAAAAGCGGAAATTCTTGACACTGAGTTGACTTAAAATCAAGCCTACTAGAAAAGCTTAAATCTTTCTTAAGAAAATTAGGTCAGTTGTAAGAGTTATTAAATTCAGTGGTGATTTCTTCTAAATCAACTTATTTAATAAAACAGCAGTGGTGTCCACAGGGAGCATGGCAAAAAGCCATGTTCCTGTTGGCTTGCATCAGTCTCTACACTGGTAGCAACTCACGCATACTGATAAAGGCACTGTAATAAGTTAATACCTAGCCTGGGCACTCTCAGAAAACTTTTCTCATCCCACATAGTCTATGACACCTTGAGCTGCAGCAAAGGTAGCTTAAAGCAGAGACTCATTGAAGTGGTACCCCTGGAAGGGCTGGGGCTCTCAGCCTGCCCCTCGGTGGCAGGGTGGGTAATGCAAAGGCCAGCAGAGCTCAGCCCATGTCACAGCTACAGCACAAACACCATGCTGTCTCTGTTACCTTCCCAGCCAGCTTTGCTCAATAAATATTATTAATTCTATATCAACAGCACTTTGGAAGGCAAAACTCTTGGCCTCTCCCTTACCAACAGTCGATAGGTTTGTGGCTTGCCAGTGCTTCATCGGGTGTTCCTTCACAGACAAATTTTGATGGCTCTGGCTCTTTTGAGGGCATGTTTGAAGGATGCAATGCTGTGAGTGAAGTAAGAGGAGGTGAGTCCTCAACCCTTTGTATGCCTGACAGGGCACTCTCCCCTGGTACTCATTTCCCCAGTGCTATCTGATCAGAGGGATTGCTTCATTCCTTCCTCCCTCCAATTAAAGGGTTAGTGACCACGAGAACTCTGCAACTTGGGTTTGGACCATTGACACCTGCAGGATGTATGGGGAACCTAACATGCACTCTCTGGCTATATTTTTAATATAATTTAATATTTCTCTCTCGTATTCCTGGCATTGCTGTTGCAAAGTCACAAGAAGAACCCTCAGAAGCATCCTATATGATAGCTCAAGTCTAATTTACCACAGTATTAAGTTATAGTTAATAATTTCAATAGATTAAAAAATTCCTTTGAAAATTTACAGAACAGTGACCTTAATTGTTAGATAATTGATAGAAGAGCACGCTTACTGAGGGTTTCAGCTTAGAATTTGTTACTTACCAGTCATTAACTGCTCCTTCACAACATTAATTCCAGAAGTGCCCAGGTACAGATTACCAAAATCACAGCCACGTATCCCCTCTAAATATACAAAACCCATATCTGCATCACGTAAGTACTGTTTTTACATGCCTAAAACATGTAAGATACCACAAAATGATGTAAAAAAAAATGGACTCTTTTGCTAATGTTATGTTAAGAACAGTATAAAGTCAAAAATGTCAAAAGGGAACAGGGCACTCATGACTCGCTCAGGAAAATGCATATTGGGCAAGTAAGAAATTAGAACCATCAAATCCTATAATCACTTAGGTTGGAAAAGACCTCTAAGATCAAGTTCAACTGTTAACATAGCACTGCCAAGTCTACCATTAAGTGATATCCCTAAGCACCACTTTTATATGTCTTTTAAGTAACATCATAACTGTCTGGTCTGCTCAGCTGTTAACAATAGCTTTGTGAGCAAGTCACAGAATCCCAGAATCATCTAGGCTGGAAGAGACCTCCAAGATCACTAAGTCCTCCACTAAACCATATCACTGAGCTTTACATCTAAACGTCTTTTCAAGACCTCCAGGGATGGTGACTCCACCACTTCCCTGGGCAGCCCATTCCAATGCCTCACAACCCTTTCGGTAAAGAAGTTTTGTAGTACTGCATGGGGTTGTTTTGCCCCAAGTGCAGGATCCAGCACTTAGCCTTGTTGGCTAAATTACAGCCTTGGAAGCCCATAGCATTGAACATATGGGTCAAAGCAATATCAAACATTTGGAAATATGAGCTTTCAGTGAATCAGTAAAAAGCATGACTTAAAAGCAGAAGGCCAAACTAGAATCACATCTTTCAAATCTGTCTGATATACTCTTAATCTCTCACTAGCTCGTGGCTCTCAGATTGCAACTTGTAGTCACAGGTAGGCCATCACTGACAGGGATTGATGAGTGATCTGAATCCCCTGTGTGGGGAGGAGATGGGAAAGGCTGATGGTACTGGCTGATCTTGGGAACCTGCTGCACATCCCCTGCAACCAGCCCCCTTCTGCAGTAGTAAAGCTGAAACCCCGAGAAACCACTGTTGGTTGCACCACCCTTCGACCTCCACTGTCCCTTGTCTCTTCAGCATTACAGGTCATGTCTTGTGAACCTGGCTATCTAAAAATCTTGGCATGAAACTCTTAAGATCAATAAGGCTGTGGGCTCCTTGCAGGGAGTTATTACCAATGCAGACTAGTGGGCTGTGCTGCCCTGTGGCAGGTACATTTGTTACAGTACCTGATCTCTTGATTTGAAAAAGCAGCAGTGTTTAAAAGTCCAGATTAAGTCATTACTGTCTGATACCCTTATCTTGTTTTTCAAGTCATAGCAGTCAATCACATAATTAGTGGGCTTAGCCAGGTGTTTCCAAATTGCGTGAGCTCAGGATCAATTTACTGGAAGTTGACCTCAAGGTGGCTTTTCATTTCACACATGAGCAATTTATTGATGATTTACAATCCCTAAACCAACATTTTCCACTCATGGAGAGAGCTTAAATCACCTAATAAGAGCATGCTGGCCTTTCAATTTCACCATATAGCTCTAAGAGACCCATACAAAGGTGCACAGTAAATTGCAGGATGGACAGGAGCTATGGAGTTGACTTTGCTCTCCTCGGTCATGTTGGGAGGCCTTCTGACTTAAGCTGGCTTACATATGCTTCAGAAAGAACATTGTCCAGCAGACACAGAAAATCACACCAGTCCCCAGCACAAACTAGAGGCTAGTACCTCAGCAGCTGTTTTAGATACCCCTGTGAAGCATCTCTGTGAGGCTCGCTAGGTCACAGTCCTGGCAGACGCCTGGTTTCTTCATGGCTCTGGATTATCCCCTACCTACTTTCAGTCAAAAGGCACAACTGTTCAGATAATGACCATCACCTCTAGCACCAGATGCTTTCTGAGGTGCCTCATCCTCTCAGTTTAGACTAAGTAGATCTGAAACTTTAGAAAATCTATGGATTTTTTGTTTTCTAAATCACTTTGGTATCAAATGTAAGTTACATTATATCTAACAGACTCTCATTTTCCATCCTAAATGGGTTTTTGCATTGCACAGCCTCCAGTGTCTCCGAGTACTATGCTCTTCATCAAGTCTCTCTGGGATCTCTTTCCAGACAGAGGAAGAATTGCAATTACCCTCATCAATGTAAACTGAGAAACACTGTCAGCCACTGCCTTTTGCTCTGAGAAGTGAAAGCTTTGCAACAGGCTATGTAAATGTTATGCCACAGGTTTATAAAGCCCTTTTTATCCCCATGCAGATTCTAGCAAACGTATCTGGAAAAGAAATGGCCCAGGCAGTTTGTTGTAGGCTATCCCTAACATTACATTCCCCAAAATACAGTTTAATTCCATGGAGCTTTTCACTGGTTCAACTTCCCCACATCTCCAATCTCAGAATTTAGTAGAGGCTTAAATAAATTCACTCTTCTCTTTCCATACACTGAGGATGAAGAGAAGTTTACAAAAACTATCACCAACGCAAAACAGGCACTGACTTGTCACACCTGGCACAAGCTCAGCCCCGAACTGCATCTGGCACTATGGCAATGAAACAGGGCTGTAGATTTATAGCCTGCCAAGATAAGACGAGAAAACTCATTGCATTGCATATGAGATGCTGCTGTCAACCAAATGCTGCCTGTGTTGTGAGGTGGGAGGGCATACAAGGGGGTGTAATTGTGAGTTAATGCCTGCCCACCTCTTCTTTCCAAAGGCTGGTTCTTCGGTGGTAGAACCGCTGTAACTGAGGCTCTGCTGGAGGGTTGTCACCCCACAGGAGACAGGATTATGTCCCGTTTGCTATTCATTGATGCCAGTCTCAGTCATAACACTAATTACAATGACACAAATTCCTAATGATGCAGACTTCTGTGATTGCCCAACGAATGGCTGAAGAACTGCTTCCTAGACTGACATCCAGATGAAGGAGGGGAGAAAAAGAAAACATTAAATGTTTGTTTTGAGAGCACCAGTGCTGGTACAGCTCGTGAAGAGAAGGGCTGGGACCCCTGCCTCTGGGATCCTGCCTTTCCAGCCCTGTCTCCTGCTGCCTGTCCCCAAGAGGTCCATCCTTGCACGCCAGCTCTGGTGCTTGCCTGAATACACAGCCAGCTAGTGTAATTCACTCACGAGGCAGAAAACTTGTTTGTTTCCCCAAGTAAGTAAATCCAGGTTGCTAAAAGGGGGGACAAGCACTAGACCTAGCACAAATGGGCTGGTGGGACCATACAACCAAGATAAAAGGGAAGAAAGGAGAAATGCTGGCAGCAGCTATTAGGTTTTCTCACCTCTTTCATGTAATTTGCACTCCTAGGGTTTATTGAAGAAAAAGGCAGGTTTTAGCTGTAATGAATAAATGATAAGGGCTGGATTGGTTGTGCTGCTTGTGGTCAAGGAGACTTTTGTTTTCCTGCCTGTGAAGAAGTTTGCTGTTTGCCAGCACTGTGTCAGGGTTAATTAGGAAGAACAGCAATGTGAAAAGGCCAGTTGGTGAAACGTGGGGAGGGGAAAGGTCTCATGAGGAATTTAAGCAAACTCGCATGCATAAAAGGGCAAAAGTAATTAGATAAACAAATGTTGGTAAAGAATACAGAAACCGAATGAGAAGTATCAATTATTATGCCAAGGAGAAAAAAATAAGATCAAAATCTACTTTGAAAATAAAA